GGGGGGGGGGGGGCAGGGGGATGTGTGGAAATTAGAGAGAAGATACTTTGCCTCTATGGCAGTGTTTAAAATGTGATTCCAAATTAATTTCCTTCTGCCTTTCACAGCCAGACACCTTATCTGTCAAAGCTAAAGATGTTTGAACAGTGGACGTTTCTCCCTCTCCTCTTTAACGTTCATTTTTCTAAGGGCCTGCCAGAGTGATGGAGGACAGCTCAGGAAACCAGACCAAAGCCAGAGCTGTTCCCAGCCCTTCAGAGGAGAAGGAAGGTTGTGCCACAGAGCTAGGAAGGACAGGGTGAGGTGCCACATGGTGAATATGTGTAGGAACACTGGGAAATTCTCTGTCTCTCATCCCCTTTACAGAGTCATAGAGTCACAGTCTGGTTTGGGTTGGAAGGAACCTTAAAGCTCATCTCTTTCCACCCCTGTGCCATGGGCAGGGACACCTTCCACTAGACCAGGTTGCTTCAAGCCCCATCCAACCTGGCCTTGGACACTTCCAGGGATGGGTCTTTGCTGTCATCCATCACATTGGATACCCCTTTTTTGGGAGCAGGAGGGTGGTGTTTGGGATCTCTGACTTCTGCACCTGTCTCAGTGGGATCCACACGTTTCACCTTGTTTTGATGTCTTAACATTTGCCATAAGGATGTGAGGGGTGGGATCAAGGGGGCCAGATTTCAGCCCCGGGACACTGGGATCAGGACGACCTGAGGATGTGACCCCCTTCTCCAGCTGTATATGGGCACGTGTGCTGCAGTGCCTTACTGGGCAGAAACCAGGTTTGAGCAGGAATTCCCACAGCTCCTGATGGCATCCTGGGGTCTGCCAGCTCCTAAAATTCCCATCAGTTTAGCCCCACAGCACCTTCTGCCACGGCCGCCACAAGGATGAAATCCCTCCTGGGACAGCACAGCCCCACTTGTTTTTCCCTTGGTTTTCAAGGTTCTGAAGGACTTTGCTGCCCTCACCCCATCACCCACAGCCTCAGAGTCGTTGCTCTTTCCTCCTTGAAGTGCATTACGACACATTAACATCTCTTACACACAGCAAATAGCAACTGCTCTGCCTAAACAGCAGAATAAGCAAGAGCAGGAGAGAAAAGGATCTGTCCCAGCAATTTATCAGATAAGGAGGCAATCAGCATAATTCACCTTATTGACATGCAGCTGCTGTGCAGGACAAATAAGAGATCCATTTCAATAAGGTCAGTGCAATTAGAGAGATGGGAAAGGGGAGCTTGTTAACCCTGGTTTTGCTTCTGTGGGAAGGGAAGGACCTGTAACCCACCTCCTGAAAGGCTGAGGGCTGAGACATGTGTACCATGTCCAGTGGGTGGATGGATGGAGAGGTGGATGGGAAGCTCAGACAGGTGAGGACAGTGGCTCTTCAACCACATCCCTCCTATCACGTCCTCTCTGGGAGGGGCTGCCAGGCTCCTGAGCCACCAAGACCTTGTGTGATGGTCCTTGGTGGATGAATCTTGGTAAAGCCACGGTCCTTGCAGGGGGGTCCGCCTTTTGGGACCCTGAGTTATTCCTTGGGCTGCATCTCTCACCAGTTATCAGTGAGCAAAAGTTAAAATTGAGCTAAAATCTGTTCAGCTGATCCCAGGTTGTCCATGCACAGAGAGTCAGATTGGAGCATCAGTGGCAGTGCCATGGCTACAGATCACAGTGCTGCTGCCTGGGAGCTGGCACAAACCCATCCAGCATCCAGCCATGGAGACCTCCAGGAGCACAGAATCTCCCAGGAAGCATTTTCTTTAATGAAGAAATGGAAAAGGGTAAAACAGAGGGACAGGTCCTCTTCCCTGTTGTGAGAGCAGGTGGATGAGCCTTTGGCAGAAATGCCATTTCCAAAGAGCATCTCTGTGGTATATCCATGGCTTTCACAAGTGGTTCTGCTTTCCCTCTGCTGTGCTCGGGGCCTTCAACCTGGCTGTTGCCTTTGGATGGAAAACAGGGATGGGGGAGCAGCACCTGAGCAAGTCCTAATTCCTGCTCCATCAGCCCATTTGCACATGGGGATGGGTGTCTGTAGCCACCAAACAGGGGTCTGCTCTGTGTGGCTGAATGAGGATCTGGCCCTGGTTTAGACTTTACCCAGCTCTGCTTCAGCCAAGAAATGGCCTTTGTCCTCTGGACAAAGAGGGAGAAGAGAGGGAGGCTGCCACTGCTCTTCCCCTCCAGCTCCCAAACTGAAGGGAAAGTGGGAATAGGGAAGTACTGCTGGGACATGGCTGGTGGAAATGGATCTGGAGAGTCTGGTTAGCAATCTGGAAGCCAGTTAATTTTTTCCAGTTGGTGGGATTCATGCTGATGAACCAATCAGCAGATTTAATGTACCTTAAACCTTCCTTGTGGGCAACTTTAATCGAGCAATTAAAGAACCATGGCATTGCTAATTAAGAGGAGAAAATACCCAGCTTGGTAATTATGTGCTTGTTGCAGTTTTGCATCCATGGACATTTATGAAGGGAGTCAGTCCCGCAGCTGGTGGGGCAAGGGGGAAGCAGAGCTTAAAGCTCATCCAGTTCCCACCCCCTGCCATGGGCAGAGACACCTTCCACTAGCCCAAGTTCCTCCAAGCCCTGTCCAACCTGGCCTTGGACACTTCCAGGGATGGGGCAGCCACAGCTTCTCTGGGCAACCTGTGCCAGGGCCTGCCCACCCTCACAGGGAACAACTTCTTCCTAATATCTCATCTAAACCTACTCTCTTCCCTTTTTTTCATTAGGAAAGACTTCTTCACCTAGAGGCTTATACAGACATGGGATCCTTGGATTCACACTTGCCTCGTACCAGGACTTCCAGTGCACAGTCACAGCCCTGGCTGCTGGTCTGTTTGGATCCCAGGGGTGCTGGGCTGTGTGTGTGGCTAATTCAGCCCAGTGAGGAGGCTGGAGAAGGCAGGGGGCAGGGCAAGGTGATCCCAGTATCTCCAGCTCACTCACTCTCTCCTCTAAAATCCGGTGGCTAATTGCAATTACTGGGAAAACAAAACAAAGCAGCATCCCAGCACCTAAAACCTATTTATTTAGTTTTCTGGCAAGGAACAAACAAACAGGACAGAGGTACCTGCAGAGCTGCCCTTGTCCCACCAACACAACAACACAGGTTTTGTCCCTGGCTGAATATTTTATTGTTTGCCACTTTTCCTC